GAGAGAGAGAGAGAGAGAGAGAGAGAGAGAAGGAGACAAAGAAAGAAAGAAAGAAAGAAAGAAAGAAAGAAAGAAAGAAAGAAAAGAACCCAGATCAACTGCTCTGAATATGTTGCTCTTAGGGAAAGGGGGTCCGTCGGTGTGCAGAGGTATGATGTAGGCATGGGATGGTAGGCTTGCTGCGGCTCCATGAGCCAGGTCCTACAGGACTTCTGGGAGATCCAGCAGACCAGGACCCCAGGTGACAGAGGGAAGCACATCCAGGAGGGTGTGCGCCTTAATTGCCTTCTGCCCTGCCTGAGTCACCTATGCAGGGATAATGAGGTGATTTGGTTTGATGATGTGAGCAACGTGCACAGGCAGCACTTAGGAGGCAGCCGGCATTAAATTCACCATGCCAGGCATCTGCTTTCCCCTCTACCATGTGCGTAGGTGCTGCAACAGCTCAGCATGTGGGGTTTGATGAATGGACAGATGAGATGTCCTTATCTACTGGGACTGGGAGCTTCCTAAACCTCCTCACTCTCATTGCACAGTTACAGCTGTTTCCCAAAACAGGGTCAGGGAGTCCACGAATACAGAGCTGCCTGGAACTTACCAATTGTTCCCTTCAGACAAATAGAAATAAGTGGTTAGGAAAAGGAGATCACCTCCCCAGCACCTCACACGCAGTACTAGGGGCTGTGTCAGAATCATAACACAGGATGGAAAGCTTAAAGGATGGACTGCGTGAGGATTTGGGGGGACATGCAGACAAACCATCAGACTTACATATTTATTTGTGTAACACATGCTCTTCGTCTTTCTAAGCAGAACAAATGCTGAGTGAGTCAAGACTCTGGGAATGGGGCAAGTGCCATGGGCAGGGTCCCTGACCCATGCTGGCTCCCCACAGCCAGGGCGAGAGCCCAGCACGCTCAGCACAGCAGCGCTGACGTCAGCCCTGATTTGAACACCTTGTTTGAAAACCTCTCCATGTCATTCCAGGCCAGAAGCTCTCCTGGCTTTGAATTCCTAGGCCCCATTTCCACACTTTCTGAAACCAGCACTGCCACTTGGACAAGCAGATTCATCTTCAGTTTCATCTGACCCTGCTTATTCCAAAACCAGCAGATAAAGTTCTCCTTCAGATCTCTCTTCTCCATTTAATATAAGGTAGAGGCACAGGGAAAGTGTAAAAATGGTCTTTTAAAAATTAAACATATTTACAACAACCATCTCCTCTTTCCTTTATGATTAAGCACTGGCTCTGACCTGCTGTGCTTGGTAAACACAGATGAGCCTCCTCCAGCCCAGGGCAGGAGCAGGGATTTGCAGGTCATGTGACCATCTCAGAAGTGAGATGCAGGGGAAATCAAGAAGATGGGCAAGTACTAGGAAAGATTTCAAAATAGGGCAGGTGAAAAGCTTTGCCTGAATTTCTTCTTGAAAGAGTTAGTAAAATACCTGAGGCTTAGGGACACTGCAGCCCTCTTGACACCATGAGGCATTTTGACCGACACTGAAAATTCTGTGTGGTGCACTAGGAATAAAGAACTTAAAGCCTTTTTATTACCTCTAAGCTTTGGGGCCAATTGTAGGTTCTCCAAAATTCAAACTTCTGTTTATGGTTTTAACAATTGCCATGGTTTCTACCTTGTCCTTTAAAGCAATCCTAAGGTATCCTCAGAAGCAAATTAAGACCACTAATGTGGCTCTTTGTTGGAAGACAGGCAAAATTATGTGCTCCTGTGTGTATTTTGTGGGAGTCTGAGATATGAAGGACTAGAAATCATAATTGGTCATGTCCTGTTCTGCCATCTTAGTTATGCCGTGATAATGTGTATAGGAACCCAGACAAGCTCAAAAGGTTTATACATTCTACTCACCTCCTGTCTTCATTTCTCTTTTTAAAATATCCTATGCCTGAAGCAGCCTCTTGCTTTGCTAAATTCCTCCTTCTCAAGGGTCCTTAACATACAGCAGTGGTGAAGGAACTCAAGCAAAGTGTGTTCTCAACCGTGTAAAGAACAACAGTTCAGTGTACCCATGGGAGAGCAGCCTGATTCTCTCATGTGCCCCAAGGAAGGGACATGTTCTGAAGGCAAATCTGTGCTGCTTATGTGTGAACAGGGACACCAGGGGACACTAGGACTCTACAGAGATGGGGCAGCCCTGCAGCTGTGCAGAGCCTTGCCCCGCCCTGCTGATTTGCATGTCCCAGAGCACAGCAGCAGGGACTTCTTCATAGGCTGTCACACCCTGTGCAGGACTCAGTCCCAGTCAGGACACAGCATGGACATGAGGGTCCCCGCTCAGCTCCTGGGGCTCCTGCTGCTCTCGCTGCCAGGTCAGAGACAGCCTGGGAACTTACTCAGCACAGTGTGGTTTGTGCTGCCTGAACCTTCAAGGAGGTGTTTTATCATGATTAGTTGTGCTGATATTTGCTATGACTCTATTATCAAGTGCCAAATGTGACACCCAATGACCCAGCCTCCACTCTCCTCATCTGCATCGATCGGAGACGCAGTCACCCTCAGTTGTCGGGTCAGTGAGGATGTTGAGGAGTGGTTACACTGGTATACAGCAGAAACCAGGGAAAGCTCCTAACATCTTAGTATATGCTTCGTCTAGTTTACAAGCTGGGGTCCCAAAAAGGGACAGCAGCAGTGGATCTGGGACAGATTTTTCTCTCATCACCAGCAGCCTGGAGCCTGACGAAGTTGCATCTTACTGCTGTCTACAGACTTGGGATGAGCCCCCCACAGTGATATGGACCCTAACACAAAGCAGCCAGGGAAGCAGAAGTGTGGGGCTGGGTGGCCCCAGCTGCTCCTCCTGGTGTCTCCACCCGCTAAGCACATTTCTTAGATGCAGCCAAGCCTTGCTGGGCACCGCGGGATTGGGGTAGAAGGATGGAGGGAGACTTCTCTGCACCCTAACTATCTCCCCTCCTTCTCATTTCCAGCAATGCAGACATCACGATGCTTGTCTTGATTTCACGCAGGCACACGTGAGCATCCCTGAACAGCTCGGGTTATGGCAAACATTTGAATTCGGACAGCAACAGAGAAGCCCTTGCATGTACTCCATGCAAGAATTTTAAAATGCCTACACCATTTTTTATACTAGATCCAGCCATGTGCTATGTGTACCTTGGCTGTCATATATCCCAGCTTGGTGCAGTATGAGCTACAGTTCCTTGCGTAAAGTCTACCAGCCTGAGGGGCTGGGGATTTAGCTCAGCGGCACAGCGCCTGCCTGGCAAGCGTGAGGTTGTGAGTTCGATTCCCAATACTGAAAAAAAAAAAAAAGAAATTATACCAGCCTGTTGTTCCTGGAGATATTAATGAATATCCCATTTAAATCTGTCTGGTTTATATGATAAATGCAAAAAGTACATTGCCAGATAAAACTAAAATAGAAGTAGAAGCTTAGTTCCATGGTTACATTAGGTATATTTCCAGAGCTGAACAGACTTGTGTGGCTCAGGGCCAGGCTGCTGATCAATACAAATGCGCATATTTATGGCATGTTAGAAAATCATTTTGAGCAGCACCTATGTCATTAACAGTGTTACAGCCAGAGCAGAAATCTCACCAACCTTTTCTCCAATAAGTCTGGTGGCCCCAGATATTCTCTTGGATATTCAGCTGTTTTGCTTCCTTTCTCCCCCATACTGAGTCAATATTCATCTAAGGAAGTGCCGTGTCAGAATAAATCTAAGGAGTCAACCCTTCCCTTTAGCACTGTTACTGTGTTATAAAAACAGTTTACAACGCTTCCCCTTCTTCCAGTACAGCTTAGGGATGTGTGGAATGAGGGTTACTCATAGCATTTCTCTATTCAATCCATGAGCTAAGCGCTGTTTGCATATTACAAAGTGATGGTGATTAAAAAGAGCAAGCAAAGGGAAGAGAGGGATATATTATCCTAACCAAGAGCTTCCTGGCAATGAGTAAATGAGAAAGTATTCAGTTACTTGCTTTCTTCTCATCTTCATGCTGTGTTAACTACTGGTTACAACTTAAGCTCAGGAGGTGGTTCCTGAGCTGAGACTGAGAAGTTTTCTTCCTGCAAACAGTGTATCTACAATTGTATTTATTACCTTACACAGAATAAGCAGTAAATATGAAAAAAAGTATTCTTCGATTCTTTTATTTATACTATTTTTAGGGAAATACGTGTTACTTCAGTGACAAAGCTCTGACTAGATGCAGTAAAAGAAGTAAACCTTGAATATTTAAAAATACAAAAATTTATATCATGACAGATAAAAGTATAATTGCAATTGAAATATAAATCTATTATGAATGAAACAAATGATGCAGACCTATATGTCTAATTAATTAAACCAACTGTAGCCTTAAAGAACCAACATTTCAAAATGCTAAAAATAAGGGATAACCCTGAATAATATTTAGTTTTGTTACCATCTTCAACTTGAACACAAATATCTTGGCAAGATGTTTGCTATTCTGAGAGTGTTTTTTGGTTTTGAGTTTAATGTATTATCACCTCCTCCTTCCGTTTAGACACCATCAGTCCTCTCATAAGCTTTCTGGAATGAGTTAACATTTGTGATCATGTAAACAACACCTGGCATAGCAGAGTCACCAATGTACCAGCATGGGGCTCCCAATGAATCTAAGACTGTTTTGTCCCATGGTGGCAATAGTATATTCCTCTCCTTTAAGTTTGTTGTGTTCAATAAAAAGTCAAAGCAATTGTTACCTGAGAGATGTTAAAGTGTCACCCACAAGTCTGGTGATCCTGGAGGCCCTTAAGAGAAGGAGGTGTTGGTGGAAGCAGGCATGCCCCTGGGCATTCCTGGGCCAACTGTGATCCCCTCCTCACACCCTGTGCAGAGACTTGCGAGAGAGGTAGAGAGTGCAGTGCAGGAACCTAGCACTTCTGGGACCTTCTCACATTTCTGCTGCCACAGCTTCAGCCACTCACCAACTGCTGAGTGTGCAACAAGGAACTGCTGGGGTTCCCACAGCTGCAGTGGAAGGGGTCCTGGGAGAGGAGGGATGGGCTGGGCTTACAGATCTCTACCACTATTCATTAGTCTACCACCATCTCCTGCAGGGTCCTTAAGGCCCGTGGTCCTTTACAAAACTACATCGTGGTCATATCATGTGGGTTACACAATTCCTGTTCACTGTCCTGTGACCAGTATCTTTATAGAACTCTAGGAGAACTGTTAGTCTTTTGTCCTTACTAGTTAGGTGATTTATTAAGAGGAATTGAATTTTCTACAGAATCTTGCCTGGTAATTGATAGAATAGGATCAGTTTCATGAATACTGGTAAAAAGATTCAGGCAAGGCCTTAGGGTACCAAAATGAATAGGGTGCTATGTTACAGAACTTCCAGTAGATGGCGAACAACCCCACAATAAACAAGCACTGAGGCCTCATTCTAGAAACACTAGGGTAGTAGAAGTGATATTGTCCCTTTAGGAAGTCACTAAGGCAGAGAGTTCTCTGCTCAGCCTTTAGGACTTCTGTGGCTGCGGGTTCTCTGAGGACAATGACCATGTCTTCCCTATCTGGCAGTTCCTTAGTGTTTCCTGTTTTACTTTGTGACTGGTAATACACCTGACTATGACCACCTTCCCAGGAGGCCCCTAGTTAGCAATGAAGCAGAATGGGTTGAGGACAATGGCCACAACTGTGAACGTGGCCAGCTGTGAGTGAAGTAGGAACAAAGTGGTCTCATGAATTCAGAGGTGGAGGTGACAGAACCCGCAGAACTCAACTCCATTGGGAGATGCAGAGGAGATACACTGGAGGATCCCTGAGATGCAGGGAAGGGGGCAGGGGGAGGGGCTGTCACTGCAGACCTGTCCCCTGCTGTCCTCCAGAGTCCTCAGCAGTGAGCGCAGGTCACTGCTCAGTCCACAGGATGTGACGGTGGGCTCTGAGCTTCGTGCTGCTCAGACCCTGCCGTGGGGACGGATTGAGAGGTGATGTGCTAACTTTGGGGTCTCACTGTTCAGGTGCAACTTGCCAGAATTGAAAACAGTATGTTACACAAGCAATTTGATCATTCCTTACCACATGAAACTAATAGTTAATGTGTTACACGCACAGAGCAGATAAGCAGTTTACATATTTATTTGTGCAACACATGTACTTCATCTTTCTCAGCAGATCAGAAGCAGAGTGATTCGAAGATGGGAAATTTTGCTGATCCTCTTCTTGGCCTCTGCCCCTGAGGAGCAGAGAGATTAGCTGCTCACTTTCTCCCTCAGGAGAACCTTCAGCTCACAGGACCAGGGCAGCTCTGTAGTCCTGGTCTCCCACGGTGTCGCTCCTCCTGGGGCTCTCAGCTTGGTTAGCACCCAGAGTGTTGAGTATTTTTCTTATCTGATCCCCTGCCAGGTGGCCCCATGGGCAGTGTCTCCTGTCTTACAAGTCCTCAGCCCCATGCGTCAGGGAAGCAGCTGCTTCCTCCGTAGCTCTGGGCACAGATCTGCAGGTCTCAGCACTGCAATCCTGACTTCATCCCAGGTTCAGGTCCCGGTTCCAAACCTCTCCCATTCACTGTCGTTTTGGCAAATCTATTAAGACCCTAAATTCACTGCCCACCTCTGGTCAGTTCCTGACACACCCTCAGCATCTGGGTAAGGAGGATTTTTTTTCCTGTTATCCTAGAGTCCTGCTTGTTCCCAACACAGCAGATACAGTCTTTCTTCAGATCTCCCTTCTCCATCCATTATAAGCTAGAAGCACAGGGTTATTTATTTTCAAAGGGCCTATTAAAAACTGATCCCTTTCCAGCAGTCATCTCTGTTTTCTTCAGTTTATTCAGCAGCAGCTCAGACCTGCTGTGCATGGCAGACACAGATGAGCGTCTTCCAGCCTCGGCAGGAGCAGGGATTGGGAGGCTCCTGTGAGCATCTCAGAAGTGAGATGCCAGAGGAACGAAGAAGGTGCACAGGTGCTGGGGAAGATTTTCATACACCTGAGATGGGAGGAGGAGGTGAAAAGTTTTGTTTGGATTTCTTCCAGAAACTTTTTTTAGAGTCCTTGAGGGAAAGAGACACCGCAGCCCTCTTCAGATCATGAGGCCTTAGGTCCAACTGTTAAAATTCCATGTATTCACACTGTCAAAGCAGGAAGAAAGGATTTGGGTCCTTCCTACTGTATCCAACCTGCTGCTCCATTCTTAAATGTTCCAACACTCAAACTTCTGTTCATGATTTTAAAAACATCCCGTTTCTTGCATTGCTTCTGAAATAATTCTAACTTATCCTGAAAGGAAAATGGAGAGCAAGAACCTGGCGGGGCGTTAGAACTGCCTCTGGTGGAAGACAGGCAGAAACAGGAGCTCGTGTCTCTGGCAGGGGAAGCCTGGGCCTAGAAAGCATCACTGCATATGAAGGTCCTCCCCTGCCATGTGACTCATGCTGTGATAAGGAATAGAGGAACTCCGACAAGTTCAATGAATTTTTTAATTCTGCTGTCCTCCTGTCGTCACTTCTCATTTTACCCTGAGGTTGAGACAGCCCATTATTTCCCTTAAGTCCTTCTCCTCAGAGGGATCATAACACAGTACTGTGGTCCTCAAGTAAAGTGCATTCTGAAACATGAGAACAAGTTTATGGTAGTCGTGGGAGAGCAGCCAGATTCCGTCCTAGGCCCAATGGAGAAACACATTCTCTACGTCAAATCTGTGCTGCCCTGGCCTGGGGAGGGACCCCAGAGAACACTGAGCCTGTCCTGAGATAGCCCGCCCTGCAGCTGGGCCACACCCCTCTCAGCCCTGCTCATTTGCATATTCCTGGAGCACAGCCAGCTGCTTGAGGACTTCTTAATAGGCTGCAGGTCTCATCCTGTGCAGGAGTCAGTCCCAGTCTGGACACAGTGTGGACATGAGGGTCTCCGCTCCGTTTCTGGGCCACTTGCTGCTCTGGGTCGCAGGTGAGGAAGGACAGCACCAGGAATTTCCTGAGCTCACTTGATCAGAGTTGCCTGAGGTTTCAGAAAGGTCCTGTTTTATCACGAATAACTGTGATGGTATTGTTACATTTCCAATTTCAGGTGCCAGATGTGACATCCAGTTGACACAGCCTCCATCCTTATCTGCATCTGCAGGAGACAGAGTCACCATCTTTTGCCAGACCAGTCAGAGTGTTAACAAATGGTTAAACTGGTATCAGCAGAAACCAGGGCAAGCTCCTAAACTCCTGATCTACTATGCAACCAGTTTGCAATCTGGGGTCCCATCCAGGTTCAGCGGCAGTGAGTCTGGGACAGATTTCACTCTCACCATCAGCAGCCTGCAGCCTGAAGATGTTGCAACTTACTACTGTCAACAAGAGTATAGTTACCCTCGCACAGTGATACAAGCCATGCCATAAACCTCCCAGGGAAGCAGAAGTGTGAGCCTGGGCTGCCCCAGCTGCTCCTCCTGGTGTGTCCAAGAGTGGAGCAAGTTCTTCAGATGCATCCAGGCTTTGGAGGTCACTGGAAGTATTTGGTAGAAGGATTCAGCAGAGCTCCCCTGTTCCATAACTTTCTTTTAGGTTTCTCAGTCCTGATTTAATGACAAACACAAATCCAACGTACACTGGAGTAATGTGGATGTGGCATCATTTTGTAATCACACGGCAAGAGAGAAGCTCTTCTATGGATTACAAGCAATGGCTTTTAAAGATTTTCATTACTTTTCGAGATTTATAGTCACAAAACTACTAGAAGTGAAAAAGTGTCTTTTATATCCTAACCCCTAACACAGTACAACATCACAATAAATTGCAATTCTGTTGCAACCAATCAACACCCATGGTTCACATTAAGGTTGTGTCTTGATGTTGAACATTTCACCAGGAAACACATGTATAGTGACATGTATCCCACATGACCCAATGCTCTTTCACTGCCCTAAATACCACTGTCTTCTACCTGTGCATCTTCTTTTTCCTCCTATTTCTGTAAGTCATTCATGTCTTACCATGTCTATATTTTTTTGTCTGGAAAAATAAAATGTTGGAATTTACAGTATGAAAGATTTTCCAAAGCTAATCTCAAAATATACCGCTATGGAACACAGAAATAAGAAACAATGAATCATACATTTTGCTCCTACTTCCACTTTTTTCATTGCACCTATTATTATCTTGAATATCCTGGCTTCATAAAGGTGTCAGATACATTACTATGCAAGACAAGAGTGCTTCCATAGTATTGATTGTGTCTCAGGGGTCACCAGAAGGGTACAGATTCCTTGGACTAAATGTGAAGAGTCTATTGTAATTTTAAACCATGCAGAGGAAATTTTAAATTTTTTTTCCAGTTGATTTTATTGATGCACCCTTGATATAAGTTCTGATGCCCATAGGATCAGTTGGATTGACAAGAGGAAGACAGAAACTCTCACTGTTCTTTTTTATGTCATTCAGATCCATTCACTCAGTGAACCTAGCTCAGTGTCTTCCTCTACCAGTCAGGGAAATCCCTTCGCTCTTGTTGATCTGTTTTCTGAGAAGTGAAGAAAAAAGGAGGTGGTTTCATTGTGTACTGGAAATAAAAATCTCCTGTCCTTATTTTTATGTCTGCATATGTGGCTGTTAAGAATGTGGCACTTGAACAATTTCCATAAACACAGCATTTCAGCCCAGTGTGAAAAATAGACTGAATTCTTTGACGAGACAAGAGGATGTGGCATGGAAACACAGAAAAATAGTAATTAACAAATGCCTTAATGACTTCTTCCTCCTCTAGTTACTACTGATTACTACTGAGTACCAATTAAACAAAATCTTAACGACCAAGTAGTGTGAACAACTTAACCACTCATCGATTCCTGGTGGAAATGATGACCATGTGACTTCCCAGGAGAACAGCTTGGCAGAGTCTTAAAAACTTATTGTGAACCTGTCACACCCAACAGTGGATCTTTCAGGCTTTTGACTAACGTGCTTGAAAACACCTGTTCACTCAACATCTTGTGAAAGACTACTAAAAGTAGCTTTGTTCATAATAGCCTGAAGCGAAAACTACCTAAATGGTCATCAATGCATGAAGCAATAAATTATGACATCACCATCCATTACATAGTACTCAGAAAGAAAGAAGATCACATCATGGGTACCTGAACAGCATGAATGGACCTAAAAACAATTCTTTTGTGCAGAAATAAGAATTACGGGGTAATAGAAGGTCTATAATTTATGTTCTATGAAATTCCAGAGAAGGAAAATCTAATATATAGTGACAACTGAAAGACTTGACTTTGCTGAGTCCATGGGGTGGAGAGGAAATTGGTTTAAAAAAAGGCAGGAAAAAGTTTTGCTTATACAGAGCAATTTGTTATTCCAGTGGAATTTTCCCAGTATAATTTTGATAGAGATTACACTAAATCTGTAATTCACTTTGGATGGTATGAACATTTTAGCAGTGTTAATTCCTCGAGTACAGGAATGTGGGGTATCTTTCCATTTATCTGTGTCTTCTGTAATTTCTTTCATGACTTTTAGTGGAGTCTAACTTACCAATAGTTCTCTCCTGTGACTCTATGTGCTTGTTTGTGTCCTGTTTAAATGTTTGCCTACTTTTCTTTTTTTTTTTTTGGTACCGGAAATCAAAGTGAGGACCTTGCACTTACCAGGCAGGGGCTTATGTGGCTGAGGTATATCCTAGGCCCTGTTTGCCTACATTTAAGGCTTAAAGTTATCCTCTTGGCCTTTCTCCCGATAGTACGCAACTCATACCTGTAGGCTACGACTCCATTAATTCATATTTATACCTGATGCCCTATGGATCAATATTTTTCCAATGTGTTCTTCAGTTCATTTTCGTTTCCCATTGCTCCTCACCATGTAATGGAAGAAAATGGCACATGAACGTATAATTAACTTTACTATCTTTGTAGAAATGTGTATATGTGGCTCTTTTCTCCCCATACTCTTTTTTTGCTTGTTCATTTTATTTACCTTTGTTCTCATGGTGCACAACACTGTCTTATTGAAGTTCTTCCATAACCCCCTACCCACTTTTGTAATGCTGGAGGTCGAACCCAGGGTCTTATGCTGTACTATCGAGCTATATCCCCATTCCGTATAAAAGTCTTAAAATGGAACTTTATTCATATTCTATTGATTTTTTTTTATACAGGGCATCAAACTCAGGACTTTGTACTTGCCAGGCATGCTCTTGTGCCACTGAACTATATCCCCAGCCCTCATAATCTATTTTTATCCCTCAAAATTTTGTGCCTATCCTAGCTTCTCTGATTTTCTTTGTATATTCTAGAAACTGCTCATCAATTTATTTATTGACTTTTTTATTTTAAAAATAAAAAACTAATAAAACAACACTTAAGAAAAATTCAAAACAACACTAAAACAACAAAAATGGCACATGACGGCAAAACAAAAGGATAGGAATTAGCAATGGTGGCTGCATTACATACTTCATCTTCCATGAGGTTGCTAAGTCCACCACACATAAATAAAGCATTTGTAGACTGACTGGAATTCATTGTATGAAATGCATTTGTGTATACATTCACCTTTTGAGAAAATTAAATTTGTATAATACCAAGTTTTCTTGGTATTATAGACATGGAACAGTCTCTATTTATCTCAATGGTTTTTAATTTAAAGACATAGTGAGTGTCTTGACAGTGAACCCAGAGCCTGAGTGAAATTATTTTTGTAAAGCGTTTTGGTTCAGTTGTTAGGAATTCATGCAAAAATTTTTTGTAAATATGTGAAGATATCCCTTTACTCTTTCACTCTGTGAATTTTATGACTTTATCTTCTTATTGTATTTTTCAACATCTTGAGCATAATTTTGAATAAAAGAGATAAATGTGGACTTTGCTTTTATATTTTCTTTTCCAAAGGATAAAACACTCAAAATTTTATTGGTGAATATGATGTTTTTAGAGACTTTAATACAAGTGTAACCAGAGTTCTCCAAGACTGTTAAGGTGAAAGGGCTGGAGTCTGGGTTGATTGATGCAGTGTAATGAAATGATATGGAGAATCACTCAAGGAATAGTTCATTGCCAACACAGAAAGTTCAAGCTCTGATTTCAGCACAGTGGTATCATTTGCTGAAGAAACAGAGACCAACTGCTGCTCCCTGTGTGAGGTTGCAGTTGTCCACTCACCTCTACTACTGAGCCTAAAGGATTGTTGCCTTTTGCAAATTCTCAGAAGGATAAACCTGCATTAAGGACCCTGGGAAAGACTGAAAACCTGGAAGGAAGAAGAATGTCTGCAAGACAAATTTCATCCAAAGCTCTATTTCAACCAGGTACAATTATGTACGTAGGGAGATGATCAGACACATTACAGGTGGAGAGAAACAAGCTTATAGGCTTTTATCTTGTGCTCAATATGTTTGTACTGAACAGCATGAGGCTGATTCAAAAGTTTGATAAGATAGGAAGACAACAATAGCAGGTTCTGTGACCACAGAGGAGGAATGCTATGCTCAGGCTGAGCCAAGGGCCTTCCGACCTGACCACCTGGGCATGGCTTGCTCAAGTGTAGACAAAGAGAGGCCAGTGTTTCTGCAGCTGCAAGCTCAGCTGAGCTGGTTCTTGCTGCTTTGCATGCTCCTCCCCACACCCACTGGCCTTCAGAGCCTATATCATTGCCTGAGCAGGAGCTCCGGGGAAGATCTGTACCAGAGAGGACCTAGTGTGCACCATGGAAGCTCTGGCTCAACTCCTCTGTCTCCTGTTACTCTGGGTCCAAGGTGAGGGCTATGTGGGATATTTCTGCATATCTGTGAAAACTCAGTGTTGGCTTCTATGTTCAGTACTAGTGTCTCTGTACAGTAAACAGGGTTATTAAAGTTCAGTATAGATCAATGAGTTTAGCTGTACTGAGAAGATAGTTGGTATGTCCTAGATTCCATGGGTGACATTTCTGTTTTATTTTTCAATCTCAGATTCCACTGGACAAATCCTGTTGACCCAGTCTCCAGCCTCCCTGGCTTTGTCTCCAGGAGAAACAGCCACTCTCAGCTGCAAGGCCAGTCAGAGTGTCAGCAGCTACCTAGCCTGGTACCAGCAGAAACCTTTCCAGGCTCCCAGGCTCCTTTGCTATGGTGCCTCCAGCATGGCCCCTGGAATCCCAGACCGGTTCAGTTGCAGTGGGTCAGGGACAGACTTCACTCTCACCATCAGCAGCCTGGAGCCTGAAGATCTTGCAACTTACTACTGTCAACAAGGTTATAGGAACCCTCCCACAGTGATACAAGCCATGACATAAACCTCCCAGGGAAGCAGAAGTTTGAGGCTGGGCTGCCCCAGCTGCTCCTCTTGGTGTGTCCCACAGCAGAGCAAGTTCTTCAGATGCATCCAGGCTTTGAAGGTCACTGGAAGGATTTGGTAGAAGGGTTCAAGAGACCGCCTCTGCTCCATAACTTTCTTTTTGTGTCTCAATCGTCATTTTAAAAGGACATCAATCCAAGTAGACTGGAATAATGTGGACTGTGGCATCATTTTGTATTCACACGGCAACAGAGAAGCTCTTCTATGGATTCCAAGGCACAGTTTTTAAAGACTTTCATCTCTTTTGGCGAGCTATAGTCACAAAAAAGGTTAAAGTGCAGAGGTGTTTTTTATATCCCTGCCCCTACCTCTACACAGTGTGTCATCACAATAAATTTCAATTCTGTTGCAATCAGTGAAGATCCATAGTTCACATGAAGGGTGACTCTTGATGTTGAATACTTAACCCAAAAACACATGTAAAGTGACATGTATCCAACATTTTGGGATGACCCAGTGTTGTTCCAGTGCTCTAAATACCTCTGTCTTCTACCTGTGTAACTTTTTTTTTCTCCCATTTCTGTAAGTCAATCATGTGTCACAATTTGTACTTTTTTGCTTTCTGGAATAATAAAATCTTGGATTTTACAGTATGGAAGATTTTCCAAAGCTTAACTTCTAATATACTGCTATAGAACAGAAATAAAAAATAATGAATAATACATGTTGCTACAACCAAGACTCCCTGTATAGCATGTATTATCATCCCAAATATCCTGGCTTAGTAAAGGTGTTAGATACTTTACTGTACAATATGACAGTGCTTCATAATACTGATTGCATCTTGGAGGTCACAGAAAGGTACAGATTAATTTACCGAATGTTGTGTCTATTGTAATTTTAAAACATGTAGCTGAATTTTGAAATTCTTTTCTTCTTTCCAGTTGATTTTATTGATCATACTTTATATCAATTCTGATGCCCATACAGTCAGCTGGAAGGACAAGCAGAACACAGGAACTCTCACTGTTCTTTCTGATATCATTCAGATCCTTTGACTGCTTCACTGAACCTATCTCAGGGTCTTCCTTTAGCAGTCAGGCAAGTGCCTTGCCTCTTGTTTATCTGTTGTCTGAGAAGTGAAGAAAATAGGTGGTGATTTCATTATTGACTGGAAAAAATATCTCCTGTCTCTATTTTTACCTCTGCATGTGTGCGTTTTAGGACTGTGGCACTTGAACACTTTCCATAAACACAGCATTTCAGCGCAGTGTGCAAAATAGACTTCATTCTTTAGGAAGACAACAGGATGTGGCATGGTTTACATAGGGCCCCGAGCATGTTATTCATTTTTCCAATCAAGATGGTGGCAGCAGAGGAGGTTGCGTTCATTGTAGGGACACAGTCTTGAAGCATAATTCTAACTTCTTTCCTAGAATAATCTCAGGGTCAACAGTAAAAAGCATTCTCTCTGAATAGCCCATTCCTTACTTCCTTATTTCACTAACTGGCTGTATTTATTTATTGCTACTCTCGAGTTTTTTCTGTACTTACTTTTGCCTTTTCAATTGAATATATTAATTACGATGAGCTCTTAGTATTCTAAAACATGCCGAACACAGAACAATGCTAATTAACAAATGCCTAATGACCTGTACCTCCTCTAGTTACTATTGTGTATCAATTAAACAATATCTTAAACAGCAAATAGTGTGAACATCTTAAGTGCCCATCGATTCCTGGTGGAAAAGATGACCATATGATTTCCAAGGAGAATAATTTGGCAGAGTCTTAAGAACTTATTGTCGATGTATCACGCCCAAGAGTAGCTCTTTCAGCCCGTTGACTAACGTGCTTGAAAACACCTGTTCACTCAGCATCTTGTGAAAGACTACTAAAAGTAACTTTGTTCATAACAGCCTGAAGGGAGAAGTACCTACATTGTCATCAGTGCATGAAGCAATAAGTTATGACATCACCATCCATTACATAGTACTCAGAAAGAAAGAAGATCACATTATTGGTATGTGAATAACACGAATCGACCTAAAAACAACTATGTTGTGTGCAAGTGGGAAGCCACTAGGGAATATAACCTATATAATTTCTCTTGTATGGAATTCTAGAGGAGGAAAATCTAATATTATACGGATAACTGATAGACTTGAGTTTGATGAGTCCATGGGGTGGAGAGGAAATTTGTTTAAAAAAAAAGCAGGAAAATTTTTTATTCCAGCCAATTTTTCCCAGTGTATTTTTGATAGAGCTTACATTGACTCTGTAATTCACCTTGGATGGTATGAACATTTTAGCAGTGTTCATTCCTCCAGTACAGCAACATGGGTTATCTTTCCATTTATTTGTGTCTTTTGTAATTTCTTTCATAACTTTTAGTGGAGTCTAACTTACCAATACTTCTTTCATGTGACTCTATGTGCATATTTTTGTCCTGTTTAAATGTTTGCTTACTTTTAAGGCCTTAAGTTATCCTCTTGTCCTTTTTCCTGAAGCTTCCCAAGTCATACCTTTAGGCTATGATACTCTATTAATTCATATTTTTACATGACATCATATGGATCAAAATTTTTTCATATGTACTTAATTTCATTTTCATTTCCCATTGCTCCTCACTATTTAATGGAAAAAAATGGCACATGAACGTATAATTTATTTTACTGTCTTTGTAGAATTATATATATGGAGCTCTTTTTCTCCTGGACTCTTCCTTTTTGCTTGTTCAGTTTATATATCTTTCTTCCTATGGTGCACACCACTGTCTTACTGAAGTTCTTCAGTAATTCCCCACCCACTTTTGCAATGCTGGAGGTTGAACCCGTGGTGTTATGCTGTACTGTTGAGCTATATCCCCACTCCCTATAAAAGCCTTAACATATAATTTTATTCATATTCTATTTTTTTTTTTTTTTTTTTGTACTCAGAGGCAAACTCAGCACCTTGCACTTGCCAGGCAGGCATTCGTTCTACCGACCCACATCCCCTGCCCTCATATTCTATTTCTATTCCTTGAAATTTCTGGGTCTATCTTAAGTTCTTTGATTTTTCTTGTGTATTCTAGAAACTGCTCATCAATTGATTTTTATTTTTTAATTTAAAGATTGAAAAAACTAACAAAACAATAATAAAGAGGAAACCAAACCAACACTAAAACAACAAAAACTAAACATGACCTCAAAACAAAATGATAAGAATTAACAACGGTTGCTGCATTGCATACTTTTATCTTCCATGAAGTTGCTCTGTCCATCAGAGGTAATAAATGATGTGTAGACTGACTGCATTTCATTGCATGAAATATATTTTCTATACATACATCTTTTGAGAAAATTAAATTTTAATAATACCAAGTTTTCTACTTGATGAATATGGAAAAATATCTCTATTTATCTCAATGTTTTTTAATTTACGAGACATAGTGAGTGTATTGACACTGAACCCAGAGCCTGAATGAAATTATTTTCCTAGATTAATTTTGGTTCAGTCTTTAGGAATTTATTTTAAATTTTGTTTTAAGTATGTGAGGATATCTGCTTTTTCTTTCAATCTCTGAATTTTACTGCTTTGTCTTCTTATTGTATTTCCTAGCAGCTTCAGTATAATTTTGAATAAAAGGGATAAATGTGGACATGCCTTTATTTTTCTTTATCTGAAAGAAAAAAACACTCAAAATTTTATTGGTGAATATGATATTTTTAGAGACTTTATTACAAGTGTAAACAGAGTCCTCCAAGATCATTAAGGTGAAAGCGCCAGAGTTTGGGTTGACTGATGCACTGTAATAAAATGACATGGAGAATAACCCAAGGATATTTTCATTGCCTGCACAGAAAGTTCAAGTTCTGATATCAGCACAATGGTATCATGTGCTGAAGAAAGAGAGACCCAGTGTTGCTCCTCTGTGAGGTTGTGGTTGTCCACTGACCTACGCTACTGAGCCTAAACAATTGTTGTCCTTTGCAAATTCTTAGAAGGGTAAGGCTGCATTAAGGACCCTGGGAAAGACTGAAAAACTGCAAAGGAGAAGAATGTCTGGAAGAAAAATTTCATACAAAGCTCTATTTCAAGCAGACACAATTAGGTACATAGGGAGATGATGAGACTCATTAGAGGTGGAGAGAAACAATCTTACAGGCTTTTATCTTGTGCTTAATAGGTTTGTACTGAACAGCATGTGCCTGAGTCTAGAAGTTTGGTAAGACAGGAAGACAACAATAGCAAGTTCTTTGACCACAGAGGAGAAATACTGTGATCAGGCTGAGCCAAGTGCCTTCTGACCTGACCACCTGGGCACGGCTTGCTCATGTGTGGAAAAAAGACGCCAGTGCTCCTGCAGCTGCAAGTTCAGCTCATCTGGTTCCTGCTGCTTTGCATGCTCCTCCCAACACCACTGCTGTTCAGAGCCCATATCATTACCTGAGCCAGAGCTCCGGGGAAGATCTGCTCCAGGGAGGACCCAGTGTGCATCATGGAAGCTGTGGCTCAACTCCTCTGTCTCCTGTTTCTCTGGGTCCAAGGTGAGGGCTGTGTGGGATACTTTTGCATATCTGTGAAAACTGAACTTTTGTTCCTATGTACAGTACTAACATCTGTGTTCAATAAGGACAGTCATTAAAGTTCAATGTAAATCAATGAGCTTAGCTCGACTGAGGAGGCAATTGGTATAACCTAGATTACATGGGTGACATTTCTGATTTATTTTTCCTTCTCAGATTCCACTGGAGAAGTCCTGTTGACCCTGTCTCCAGCCTCCCTGGCTTTGTCTCCAGGAGAAGCAGCCACTCTCAGCTGCACAGCCCATCAGGGTATTAGCAACTACCTAGGCTGGTACCTGCAGAAAGATGCGCAGTCTCCCAGGCTCCTCATCGATGATGCCTCCTGCAGGGCCACTGGCATCCCAGCCCGGTTCAGTGGCAGTGGGTCGGGGACAGGCTTCACTCTCACCATCAGCAACCTGGATCCTGAAGATGTTGCAACTTATTAGTGTTACCAGTATTACAGTGGGTTCCCCTGGTGATTCAGTGTGGAACGAAAACCTCCTGGAGACGGTGGTCATTGTTGTGCTCATAGCAGCTGTTTCCTTTATAGACAGCTGCTGTGGTATCTGCTGAGTCCTAGCATTTCTGTCTCAATCTGAAAATCTTCTGATTCTGAAAAGTAACTTGCTAATAAGATTTCAACTGATTGCTGAACTTTTCCTAAGACTCAGTTGGAAGTTGTTCAGGAACAATTTCCCTTCTATTGGTATCAAATCAGATTCATATGAGATATACATTTTATGTCTAGTACAATAGGTAATGCCACAGCCAAGAAAATGAATTATATTATACATATGTGAGATTTATCCTACCAAATTTTTAGTTTCATTAACTTACACTTAATAATAATAATAATAATAATTAAGAAATAATATAGATGTATATGTCATGTCACTAAACATAAGCATTCTGAGAGTTTACAAGTTCCTGCATTCTTAGTGACCTGATAGATGACTGAGTCACCATGGCCTTGTTTGCCCCAGAAAGTATTTGAATTCCAAACTGTTTCACTTACTTTTTTTTTGTTGTTGGAACAAAATACCTGATGCCCAAAATTAAGGAAGGAAAAGTTTATTTCGCTTACAGCTCGTGGAGGTTTCAGTCCTAACTTGGCAGATTACAAGGCAGAGTGGCACATGGCAGAGGGGTACAGCTCATGGTGACAGAACACAGCAAAAGCAGAAAGCACACACCAGGGCGGAATCCTGGAGGAATGCCCTCAAGCAGCTTCTTCCTCCCCCTTACATATGTAAACTCTCCACCTCAGGGTGGGTGTAGCTCTCACACCCATCAAACTCTAAAAGCCTGCCCCATGGCCACGTGAGGCTTTGGGGGGACACACAGCCTCAAACCATAATATTCCACCCCTGGCCCCCTAAAGACTCATGCCCATCCCTTTATACAAACAGCATTTATTCCATCTGCAAGAGTTGCCAAAGTTCTAAGAGTTGCAGCATTGTTGAAAAGTCCAAGTCCCAAGTCTCCTCCAAGATGTAAGGCAAACTCTTAGCTGCGAGTCCCTGTACAAATGAAAAGTTAGACACACCCAACATTCAATGGCAGAAAATAAGCAGTACCATTCCAAAAGGTACAAACAGGGGGACACAAAGCATTGGGACCAAAGCAAGTCCAAAATCCAGCAGGGCTAACATTATGTCTTGTAATTACATGACCAGCATCTGAAACAGTCTGTAGCACATTGTGAGCTTAAAAGGGCTTGTATGAGTCCACCCCTGTGGCACTTCTGGTGGTTACAGATTTCATGGCTCTTCTCTTAGACCTGATTTGTTCCCTCCATGTAGTTTTTTTTAGATCATCTACTGTCCTGGCTTTTTTAAACTTTTGAGGTCTCCAGGGCACCTTTCGCTTCACACTCACAGCCTTACACACTGCCCTCTCAGGGGCACACTGCCTGGCCTCCCAGGCCTTCTGAAATCTGGGTGGAAGCCTCTTAAACCTCAGAACTCGTGTTTTTGCCATGCACCTAAAGCCAGGGCACGGGGATGATGCCAAGGTCTGCTGCCACCTGGAGCAGTAGCCAAGCTTTCCTCTCTCTTGGCCACAGGGGTTGAGTGCCTGGATCGCTGGGCACTCTGAGTCCAATTTTGAGGAACAGATCCTCTATGCTGCCGCCATTCTGGAACATGGCGCTCAGCAGCTTTTTTCTCAAAGCAAGGTCTTTCACCTTTGTAGTTTTGAGGCTGCAAAGGATAGAGACTTGCTGTTTCTTGTGATGCCCTCAGGCCGTCTTTTTTATTTTCTTGTTCCTTCTCAGCAATAGAGATCTCCTCAGCCTTATCTTTGCAGTCCACAGCATTACTGGAGCTTCCTTTCTGGCCAAACTCACAACATTTTAAATCATCCTGCTGGGCTCTTTGTTTTTGATTTTTAATATAAATCTGGCTAAAAGCCCCCAACAATAGCCATGCCACTGCCCCAATGTTTGACTGTCTTGATATTTCTTTTGCCAGATTAATCAGTCCGCTGCTGCCCTTAATCTCAGTCTTAGGCAAAGTCTCTGGACATGAGCAAAATGCAGACAAACTTTCTGCCAAGCCATAACACACATCATCTGGAGTCCAACAACCAATGCAGTCCTCCTTCCCAGCAGAAACCTCCTGAACCTGGTCTTTACCAGCACGATTTCTATCAGCCTTCTGGGCTTCTGAGCTCTGACTAGAATCTCCCAGAAAGAACAGTGTTCTAGCGCTAGAACACAGAAGGTGCTCCAGCGCTTCTCTTTCACGAGACATCTCCAAACCTTTGCAAACACTTCCCACAAGCCATTTCCAAAGACTCTTGACCCACATGGTTAGATATAGTCACAGCAACGGCCCCACTCCTGGTACCAAATTTTGTCTTGGTTACTTTTTTCTCGTTGTGGGGACAAAATATCTGATGCCCAAAATTAAGGAAGGAAAAGTTTATTTCTCTTACAGTTTGTGGAGGTTTCAGTCCTTACTTGGCAGATTACAAGGCAGAGTGGCACATGGCAGAGGGCTACAGCTCATGGTGACAGAACACAGCAAAAGCAGAAATCACACACCAGGGCAGAATGGGGGAGGAATGCGCCCAAGCACCTTCTTCCTCTCCCTTACATATGTAAACTATCCACCCCAGGGTGGGTGTAGCTCTCACACCCATCAAACTCTAAAAGCCTGCCCCACGGCTGATTGAGCCTTTGGGGGGACACACAGATTCAAACCGTAACGCAAACTATTCAAAGTGCATTGTACTATAACAGTGGTTCCCTTTCAATCTAAAGATAAGAAACAAATCATGTAGTATTCATAGAATAAGGGCATTTTTCCTCAAAGTCTTTTTTAGGAATATATTGAAGACATTGATAGTTTTACTCCCTAAAAAGTGAAACAAATGCAAAAAAATCCAAAAGTGTGCACCTAGTCCTTCTCACCACCCATTCAGGAGGGATGAGATGAATAAAATTCAGACAGAAGCTGAGTGTTGCTCAAGGTCATTCACTTAGTCGAAGAGCATCAATAGATGTATATTAGTTCTCCAGTTTTATTGATTGAGTCTGAAGGTGTTGCAACTTATTACTGTTACCAGTATTCCAGTGGGTTCCCACAGTGATTATGATGACTGTTATTGGCTGTTTGAACAAAATATGTTAGAAATATCTTTTCAATTTCAACAAAAATTCTCTGGAATTCAGTGTTATTTGGCTTTTTGTCTTTCTTACAAAATACCTAAAAAAAACCTTAAAGGTTGAAAAGTTTATTTTACTTTAAAGTTTCAAGATTTCAGAATAGGGTCAGCTGGATCCATTGCTGTTAAACCTATAGTGAGGGGGAAGCATTGCAATAGCAGGGTGTGGAGGAGAAAAGCTACTTACTTCCTGGTCAGGGAGCAGAGAGAAAAGAAAGGGGGAAGGGCTAAGATATAGTACCCAGGGTGATTCCTCCATCAGGTAGGCCTCAGCTCCTCAATTTCTATTATGTCCCAATAATTCTATCAAATTACTATCTCATCAGGGGGTGAATCTTTGTGTGCAGTTAGAGACCTCACATTTCCCTCACCTGCCAAAAGCGCCCTCTGAGAACACATGAGATTTCAGGGGCACATTTTAGATCTAAACCATAATAGAGCTTCAGTTTTCCTTTCTTCTGTCACACGTGCATCCACATGAGGTGGGTGGGGGAGAGAGAATGAGAGAGAGACAGAGGCAGAGATAGAGCTAGAGAGAGACAGAGAGACAGAGACACTGCTATAATAACTGCCTAAAGAGAAGTCACTATTATGCCAGCTGGGACTGGGTCTGGCTCCTATATCACCAGGTCCCCATTAAAGCTACACAGCCTCATGTAGCAGAGAATCTCAGACATGGGAGCCACCTCCCCTGTGGGCCAACCCATGCCACGGGCTCCAGCATTACTGTTGCTCAGCGTGATCCTGTGCTTCAGACCCCCACTCCATGCAACTATGACAATTGCTAAAGGGATTAAACAAACTAGATGTGTTTATTCTTGTAAAAGTACTGGGGTCTTGGATAGGGTCAGGAAAACTGTGGTATTTTTGTTGGAACTAGGCACTTCCAGTCTCAGCTCAGTGTGCCAGAATTGCAGTGTCCTGAATCTCAAGGTGGAGGAAACTGCAGCATCTTCTTGCCAGAGGGATGGACTTGAGCAGGGTGGAGAGAAGAGCAAGATCCTTCAGTCACATTGCTCACCAGACAGCTGCCACGTCCCCTTGCCTCTTCACACACTGTTGCACGCACCAGGGGATTTGCATAGTGCTCACTAGGGAGAATTCCCCTGCAAGTCTGAAATAAAAACTTATAATCTTGCTGTATGTATTCAGACTTTTCAGTTCAGCTTCTCAAAGTGAGGGACCCCACTCAGCTCCTGAGGCTTACTGCTCTGGATCCCAGGTAAGGACAAAGGGAGATAAGGAAGGAGATGAGGTGAAAGGAGTGAGCCCTGGGGCCCAACTTCTGCACATGTGTGTTCTGTCCCCATGTGAGAAGAGCAGGTTTTGTCCTCCAGGATGGGGCATATGAGGTTAGAGAGTAAGGGAAGTTTCGGCAAGAGCATGGACACCCCTGCTCTGGTGGAGACTGACAGCGATGCAGGGAGATGGTGTGGGAGACTTCGAGAGCCCCTGAATGCTTTGACTCGTCACCTCCAGCGACACTGGGTGGCAGAAGTAGGAGGGACAGCGAGGTAATACAAGTGCCCTGTGAACAACCAGCCACGATGACAGGGCGAGTGGACTAGCAGCTCATCCTGGTTCTCCCTGTCTGCCCACAGTTATCATGGAAACATCATAAAAACCATAGAATTCATGCAGACTGATGCTGCAGAAGTTAAATAGATGTTGAAAATTACACATGTGGGGTATGTTTTTTATAGGATTATGTTTGATAATATATTTTCCACTTATCCAAGTTCTACAACCTGGTTTATTCTCTTATTAACATCTCTGAGACAGCATCCTATCATTGGGCAGAATATGCTGTGAATAAT